TCTCAAGTGCACATGGAACATTCTTCACAATAGGTCACATCTTGGGTCACAAATCAAGCCTTGAAAATTTTAAGAAAACTGAAATCATATCAAGCGTCTTTTCTGACCACAATGCTATGAGATCAGAAATCAATTACAGGGAAAAAAAAACTGTAAAAAACACAAACACATAGAAGCTAAACAATGTTATTAAATAATCAATGGATCACTGAAGAAATCAAAGAGGAAATCAAAAAATACCTAGAGACAAACGACACCAAATACATGACACTGCAAAATGTATGGGACACAGCAAATGCAGTTCTAAAAGGGAAGTTTATAGCAATACAAGCTTACCTCGAAAAACAAGAAAAATCTCAAGTAAACAACCTATCCTTACATCTAAAGCAACTAGAGAAAGAAAAACAAAACCCAAAGTTAGTAGAAGGAAAGAAATCATAAAGATCAGAGAAGAATAAATGAAATAGACACAAAGAAAACAATAGCAAAGATCAATAAAACTAAAAGCTGGTTCCTTGAGAACATAAACAAAATTGATAAACCTTTAGCCAGACTCATCAAGAAAAAGAGGGAGAGGACTCAAATCAATAAAGTTAGAAATGAAAAAGGAGAAGTTACAACAGACACCGCCGGAATAGAAAGCATCATAAGAGACTACTACAAGCAACTCTCTGCCAATAAAATGGACAACCTGGAAAAATGGACACATTCTTAGAAAGGGAGAAGCTTCCAAGACTGAACCAGGAAGAAATAGAAAATATGAACAGACCAATCACAAGCACTGAAATTGAAACTGTGATTACAAATCTTGCAACAAAAGTCCAGGACCAGATGGTTTCACAGGCAAATTCTATCCAACATTTAGAGAAGAGATAACACGTACCATTCTGAAACTCTTCCCAAAAATTGCAGAGAAAGGAGCACTCCCAAACTCATTCTATGAGGCTACCATCACCCTGATACCAAAACCAGACAAAGATACCATAAAAAAAGAAAATTTATAGGTCAATATCACTAATGAACATAGACACAAAAATCCTCAACAAAATACCAGCAAATCGAATCCAACAGCACATTAAAGGATAATACACTCTGATCAAGTGGGATTTATCCCAGGGTTGCAAGGATTCTTCAATATACACAAATCAAACAACGTGATACACCACATTACAAACTAAAGAATAAAATCCATATGATCAACTCAATAGATGCAGAAAAAAACTATAACAAAGTTCAACACCCATTTATGACCAAAAAAACCCAAAACTCCAGAAAGTGGGCTTGGAGGGAACTTACCTCAACATAAAAGAGACCATATACAACAAAATCTACAGCTAACAATTAGTCAATGGTGAAAAGCTGAAAGCATTTCCTCTAAGATCAGGAACAAAGCAAGGATGACCACTCCTGCTACTACAACTCAACATAGTTTTGGAAGTCCTAGACACAGCAATCAGAGAAGAAAAATAAATAAAAGGACTCCAAAAAGAAAAAGTAAAACTGTCACTGTTTGCAGATGACATGACACTATGCATAGAAAATTCTAAAGATGCTATGAGAAAACTACTAGTACTCATAAATGAATTTGGTACAGTTGCTGTATACAAAAGTAACACATAGAAATCTCTTGCATTCTTACACACTAACAACAAAAAATCAGAAAGAGAACTTAAGGAAACAACCCCATTTACCACTGCATCAAACTGAATAAAATACCTAGGAATACACCTACCTAAGGAAACAAAAGACTGCTACGCATACAACTATAAAATACTGATGAAAAAAGTAAAAGATGACACAAACAGATGGAGAGATACGTTCTTGGACCGGAAGAATCAACACTGTGAAAATGACTATACTACTCAAAGCAATCTACACATTCAATGCAATCACTATCAAACTACCACTGGCATTTTTCACAGAACTAGAACAAAAAATTTCACAATTTGTATGGAAACACAAAAGACCCTGAATAGCCAAAGCAATCTTGAGAAAGAAAAATGGAGCTGGTGGAATCAGGCTCCTGGACTTCAGACTATACTACAAAGCTACAGTAATCAAGACAGTATGGTACTGGCACAAAAACAGAAATATAGATCAATGGAACAGGAGAGAAAGCCAGAGATAAACCCATGCAAATATGGTCACCTTATTTTTGATAAAGGAGGCAAGAATATACAATGCAGAAAAAACAGCCTCTTCAATAAGTGGTGCTAGGAACACTGGAGAGCTACATGTAAAAGAATGAAATTAGATCATCCCTAACACCATACACAAAAATAAACTACTCAAAATGGATTAAAGACCTAAATGTAAGGCCAGACATTATAAAACTCTTAGATGAAAACATAGGCAGAACACTCTGTGACATAAATCACAGCAAGATCCTTTTTGACACCCCTCCTAGAGAAATGGAAATTTTAAAAAACTAAACAAATGGGACCTAATGAAACTTAAGTTTTTGCACAGCAAAGGAAACCATAAACAAGACGAAAAGACAACCCTCAGAATGGGGGAAAATATTTGCAAATGAAGCAACTGACAAAGGATTAATCTCCAAAATGTACAGGCAGCTCATGCAGCTCAATATCAAAAAAACAAACAACCCAATCCAAAAATGGGCAGAAGACCTAAATAGACAGTTCTCCAAAGAAGGATAGATTACCAACAAACACATTAAAGGATGCTCAATGTCACTAATAATTAGAGAAATGCAAAGCAAAACTACAATTAGGTATCACCTCAAACCAGTCAGAATGGCCATCAGCAAAAAAATCTACAAACAATAAATGCTGGAGAGGGTGTGGAGAAAAGGGAACCCTCTTGCACTGTTGGTGGGAATGTAAATCGATACAGCCACTATGAAGAACAGTATGGAGGTTCCTTTAAAACTAAAAATAGAACTACCATACGACCCAGCAATCCCACTACTGGGCATATACCCTGAGAAAACCATAATTCAAAAAGAGACACGTACCACAATGTTCACTGCAGCTCTATTTACAATAGCCAGGACATGGAAGCAACCTAAATGTCCATCAACAGATGAATGGATAAAGAAGATGTGGCACATATATACAATGGAATATTACTCAGCCATAAAAAGAAACAAAATTGAGCTATTTGTAGTGAGGTGGATGAACCTAGAGTCTGTCATACAGAGTGAAGTTAAGTCAGAAAAAGAAAAACAAATACCGTATGCTAACACATATATATGGAATCTAAAAACAAATGGTTCTGAAGAACCTAGGGCCAGGACAGGAATAAAGATGCAGACGTAGAGAATGGACTTGAGGACACAGGGAGGCAGAAGGGTAAGCTGCAATGAAGTATAAGCAGCTTCTAGAGGGGTGGGAAAGGGAGGTTGGGAGGGAGATGCAAGAGTGAGGAGATGTGGGGATATATGTATATGTATAGCTGAATCACTTTGTTATAAAGCAGAAACTAATACACCATTGTAAAGCAATTATACTCCAATAAAGATGTTTAAAAAAAACAACAGAGCTGGAGGAATCAGGCTCCCTGACTTCAGACTGTACTACAAACCTACAGTCATCAAGACACTATGGTACAGTATGGTACTGGTACAAAAACAGAAATATACATCAATGGAACAGCATACAAAGCCCAGAGATAAACCCACACACCTACAGTCACCTTATCTTTGACAAAGGAGGCAAGAATATACAATGGAGAAAAGACAGTCTCTTCAATAAGTGGTGCTGGGAAAACTGGCCAGCTACATGTGAAAGAATGAAATTAGAGCACACCGTAACACCATACACAATAATAAACTCAAAATGGATTAAAGACCTAAATGTAAGGCCAGATACTATAAAACTGTTAGAGGAAAACATAGGGAGAACACTCTGTGACATAAACTGCAGCAAGATCTTTTTCCATCCACCTCCTAGAATAATGAAAATAAAAACAAAAATAAACAAATGGGACCTAGTTAATTTATTAATTAAACTTCAAAGCTTTTGCACAGCAAAGGAAACCATAAACAAGTTGAAAAGATAACCCTCAGAATGAAAGAAAATATTTGCAAATGAAGCAACTGACAAGGGATTAATCTCCAAAGTTTACCTGCAGCTCAATATCGAAAAAGCAAACCAATCAAAAAGTGGGCAGAAGATCTAAATAGACATTTCTCCAAAGAAGACATACAGATGGCCAAAAAGCACATGATAAGATGCTCAACATCACTAATTATTAGAGAAATGCAAATCAAAACTACAATAAGGTATCACCTCACGCAAGTCAGAATGGCCATCATCAAGAAAGTCTACAAACAATAAGTGCTGGAGAGGGTGTGGAGAAAAGGGAACCCTCCTACACTGTTGGTGGGAATGCAAACTGGTACAGCCACTATGGAGAACAGTATGGAGGTTCCTCAAAAAAGTAAGAATAGAGCTACCATATAATCCAGCAGTCTCACTCCTGGGCATATATACGGAGAAAACCAGAACTCAAAAGGATGCATGCACCCCGATGATCACTGCAGCACTATTTACAATAGTAATAGTAAATAGGACATGGAAGCACCTTAAATGTGCATCAACAGAGGAATGCATAAAGAAGATGTGGTACATATATATACAACTAAATATTACACACCCATAAAAAAGAAAAAAAATAATGCCATTTGCAGCAACATGGATGGACCTCGAGATTCTCATACTTAGTGACTTAAGTCAGACAAAGAAAGACAAATATCATATGATATCATTTACATGTTAAATCTAAGAAAAGGCTACAAATGAACTTATCTACAAAACCGAAATAGAGGTAGAAAATAAACTTATGGTTACCAGTGGGTGAGGGTGGGGGAGGGATAAATTGGAAGATTGGGATTGACACATACACATTACTATATACAAAACAGGTAACTAATAAGGACGTCCTCTACTCAATACTCTGTAATAGCCTCTATGGGAAAACAATCTTAAAAAGAGCAGATATATGTATTTGTGTAAAAGATTCACTGTGCTGTACACCTGAAACTAACACATTGTAAATCAATTATACCCCAATAAATGTTTTTTCAAAATAAATAAATGAAATAAAATATATTAAGTTTTTAAAAAAGAACAAATAAGGAAATTACAGATAATACAGAACTATCTGTATTATCATAGATAATAATGCAGATATTAACGCAGAACTATAATAACAATGAAACAAATTATTCTAGCTGTGATTACCAACTATGGAAATCTGAATGCCTCCAACAAACTTTATTAGGCTGCTTATATTTCCTTCTATATACATCACACTTTTCATTTGCATATAGGAAATCTAATCAATAAATAAATCAAAACTGTTCCTGATTTTCCTTGTTCAAAAACAGAACTAGTTTAGATCACCCCAGCTCTATAACCCACAAAATACAGAGACCCCAAAAGACATGTACAAGAATCTTCATAGCAAGAAACCTGCAGTAATCCCAGCCTAGAATCAACCCAAATGTCCATCTTCAGTAAAATGAATATACATTATAGATTATGATATATATGTTCCTAAAATAGACTACTACATAGTAATGAGAATAAATGACTATATACCCAACAACACAAGTGAATCTGAAAATGGGCACAAAAGTAGCAGGAAACAAAAGAGGGCATAGTATATGATTCCAGGCAAAGCAGAATTTTGGTGCCAGAACCCTCTGGCAAGAGCACAGTGACTCGAAGAGCCACAAAGCGAATCTTTGGGATGATAATAATGTTCTGTTTCTTAAACTGTACACTAATTGCACAGATGTTTTTACTTTGTAAAAATACAGTTGACCCTTGAACAGCAACATGTTTGAACTCTGTGGGTTTACTTACACTTGGATTTTTTTCAATAGCAAATACTACAATATATACAACCTGCAGTTGGCTGGATCCATGTTTGGTTGAATTCACAAATACAGAGGGGCAACTAAAAGTCATATGCAGATTTTCAACTGCACAGAGGGTAGGTGCCCCTAACCCCCATGTTGTTCAACGGTCAACTGTAATCAGTCTGTATACTAACGATTTGTGTACTTTTCTATATACGTGTTGAACGTAAATTAAAAGTTTACTTTAAAAAAAAACAGATTTTTCAATTCTGAAATTAATTCTGTCCCTCACACAAATCTCAAAAGTTTATCTTCACTAAGCTATCTCTTCTAAGATAACGGGTCTTACTTTACATGCCTAAAATACTGTGTACTTCAAATCCAGGTCTCTAGTTAACTCAATGATTCACTTTTCATTTAAGTTTATTTTGCTCTTGCTCTTTTTTTAATGTATATATTCCATGAGTTCAAAATTAACAATGCAGCTACTCAAGGAAGTTAGTCTAAATCTGCAATTTACACAGTGATAAGAGACAACCACTGTAAATAACACCCATGTTAATGTTCTAGCTATATAATTAAAATTTTTATTCCAAGGAGTTATCTACTGACAAACTGATGGACACAGTGAAAATTTTAATTCATGCTCATGGAGTTCTCATAGAAATGGGACCTAAGAAGGGACCAAAGGAGCCAGTTTTTATACTTTTTAGACAGAGAAACACTAAATTTATAAGAAATTTATAGGACAAAAATAACTTAGGCTTTGGGTGCTTAATTAGTGAAGAATCTAAACTGAGTTTGGGCTTGGGGTAATAAATTAAAGAAGTAACAAGGTCTGTTTGTATAGGCTTTTTGACCTCAAATTCACTATCTCTGTTGATAAGAATTTCCTTCTATTTTCATTTTTCACATGCAATTTATTCCCTACTTTCAGGAAGACAGAGAGGAGGCTCAAAGTGTCCCTCTTGCATCAGCTCTTTCTTAAGTAACTTTAATTCAAAATAATCAATATGCCATTGAGGCACACTTTGGGGCAACGTACCCTGGGCCCCAACAATAGCAATAATAAAATATTTATAACAAGAGAATTCACCAAATTGAATATTTAAAAAGCAAACAAAAAATACCAACTACAGAACCATCTATCAAGAAATTCAATCCAACAAATATTTTGTGAACACTTACTATGAATATGAAAATCTATTAAACACAGAAGGAAATCAAAACATAATAAGGGGGGACTTCTCTGGTGGCGCAGTAGTTGAGAGTCTGCCTGCCGATGCAGGGAACACGGGTTCGTGTCCCGGTCTAGGAAGATCCCACATGCCGCGGAGCGGCTGGGCCTGTGAGCCATGGCCGCTGAGTCTGCACGTCTGGAGCCTGTGCTCCGCAACGGGAGAAACCACAACAGTGACAGGCCCGTGTACCGCAAAAAAAAAAAAATTTTTTCTACTCACTAAAAAGTAACTTTTTTAAAAAAACAAACAAAAAAAATCATGAATAAGGCATGGTCCCTGTCCTATCTGAGATAAAGATATATCAAATAATTACAGTAAATTCACTGGTATGGAGCACTTAATATATACCTGTACCTGAAGTCTGTTTTTTGTAAGTCAAAAATTCAGAGACTGAGTATATGCTTCCATAATTAAAAGTTATATTATTATAGACAAAATACAACCAAGTGAATCTGGGCTACATCCTCATTTTTCTCAGAAGACAGGATAATATAAAAATAGCAATAAACTGAATATCAGGAGACCTAGATTTTAGTCTTGCTGTTGTTATTAAATAGTTGTAAGACCGCAAGCAAGTCATTAACTCCTTTAAATTTTGCTTCTTTGTCTGCAAAATAAGGCAGTTGATTTAAATCAACTTTGAAACAACTTCTCAAAAGATTCTGTAAGAGAAAGCCAAAAACTAAAGAGGGAAAATAATCTACATGGATGAACAAAAATACAGAGTTTTTAAGCAGGAATATCTACTAACTACATGGTAACAGAGTCTTCTAATGAAAACCTAGAGTAACTAACCCTAGACTAAAATCAGAAGACCTGGGTTCTAGTACTACTCATATGACTATAGGCAAATAACTTGACCAATTTCAGCCTTAGTTTCCTGAACATTAGGTATTAGCTTCCTATACAATTGGGACATCTACTTTGCTACCCTCACATGGCTGCTATTGAAAATAAACTGATACAAAAACGTGTTATTTTGTAAACTTAAAAATTGTACAAATATTCCCATTACTAAAATATGATTTAAGATAATTTTGTATGGACAGTGAAATTTTATTTATTTTTCTACTTAATTTTCTCTAAGGAAAAAAATATCAAGAGTAACAAATTAGTTATTGTGTATACGGCACCTCAATCATTACCAAAAATCCTGTTGATAAAATCTCAAAACATTTCATCATTAGGACAAATATTTGACAACATCATTAAGTATTTACTACATTCCAGATTCTGTGATAAATCCTCATAATAACCATATAAGACAGGTAATACCATTATTCCCTACTACAATGTTTAAACTGGGCTCAGAGAAGTCAGGAAACGTTCCCCAAATCACAGAACTAATGAGTGGAAATGCCAAAATTCTAATCCCAAGAAGTCAAACTCCAAAGTCTAAGTCCTTAAATATAAACACTATAGCACCTCTACATACCTCTTAATACTACTTTTATAACACTTTTAGGTGCCTCAGTTTCAACTCTACCACTAGTCTAAAGAGAATGACTACACTATCTGCATATGCAGAAAAACCTACAAATCATTTTTTAAAGCTTAATTTCAGCTCTGGGATCTGAACCTCTGACAGACATTCAGAGCTTTGTCATTCTTTCTCCTTCTAATTAAATATGAGAAAGGGAAATGGTGAAAGCATTATATGAAAGGGAAGGGAGAAAGGCTCTCTAAAACCTTTATGTAAGGTCATTTTTCTCCTAGTGTCTTTGATTCTACTGGTTCAGCAAGCTGAAAGATACTACCTAAGGTAGAACTTTGGGTCTTCTCCAATCAGTGAAGTTAAGAACCTGCTGACTACATATACTCAAAAACAGGATTTGCCAATTCTAAGTCTTCCCCATAGATGAACTTACTGACTGTCCTCTGACAACAAGGATGGCAAAAGCTTGGATCAGCCCTACATAATAATGGTTCACTGAGAAAACTTATGATTCCCAAACTCTTAAATTTCTAAACATCAGTATTTCAAAAAGAGCCTTATATGACTACAGTTATTATTATATAGCCCAGCAGAGACATTTCTTTATTGCCCAAGCTGAAAGGCAATAAAGAAAAGGTTATAATTACTAATAACTTCAGTAAAACCAATAAATATAAATTAAAAAGGAACCTATAATGTGGCTCCAGGGACATCTCTCATAAAATACAAAAGAATATAACAAATGGCCAAAATAAAAATAAACTATGTATAAAAAGCAGGAAAACATTCTGCTGAGAAATGACTAAGATGAAAAGATAATCTATAATACTACTATGTGTATACTGGGTTAATTGTAATTAATCAAACTTTTCACTGAGTTGTCAATGTAACACTTAATTGGCATATAAGTATTTTTTAAAATTATGGTGAAAGGTATGAATATGTGACACAAGTATTTTGTCTCCATCTGCTGGAAAGTAACAGCACTATCCTAACATCAATAAAATTTGTAAATGCTGGCAAAGTAAGAATTTCTGAAGATATGAAATCACCATCTTTAATATTTATACATCATTTTCATGAAACTTCAGAGCTTGAATACTTTTTACATTTTGTTATAGAATGTAACAAACCAAAGGATTACATCCTTACAGAACCATACTTTTCATTAATCCATTCAAAATATAAACTCAAATATAAAAACATTTACTGAGTATAAAAATATTTAATAAATTTGCTAACATATTATAGTTAAAATAATCTTCCCAAGTACTAATAATTTAAATGAGGCCTTAAAAGACTGCATGTTTTATCATTGCTTTCCTATATGTAAACTGAATCTTTAGTAATAATCCATAGATGCTCATAATATAAAACCATACAAATTTCACATCAGATAATCAATATACATCACTGTTTTGCAAATACATAAACAGACACAGATATCTGCAGACTAGATCAAAATTACAGCATCAAGCAGAAATATTTAAATAATAACTAGTGATAAAATTTAGATTTAATACATCTCAAAATCTGATTTAGAATATTATTCATTTTTGGAATTCATAATACATCTTGCCAATCTACTAGCAGACTCAGTTGATTCCCTTAGGAATACCAAGTTATAAGAAATGCCTGTGTGGCTACAATCAAAATATGAAGATACCTTTAGTAACTGATGACACATTACAGTCTTCTGGTGGAAGACCTGTCCCACCATCCTTCCAGTATGGATTCAATTCTCTTTCCAGCAGTCTGAACTGGAACAAAACATTTTCAGAGGTCACAATTTTAAAATAACCCCACCATAAAATATATTAATAAATTAAATACCTGAGACTCAGTTAACAATTGTAACCTTAAGGAAATACTTTAAAAACTCTTAAGACACACTCTTTTCCAACTTGCAGGAAATAATGTCTAAATTAACATTCATTCAATGCTTTTCTTGAATACCTACCATGAATCAGAATTGTGCTAAATGCAGAAAATGTAATAGTCAATATGCCTAACACAGCCTTTGCTAGCTTATGAGATAGTGAGGAATACAGACAATATACAAGTAACTGTCAAGTGCCTTGAAGATAGAAGTACAGAGTGTTAAAGCCATACACAATTCAAACTCCTCTCATGCTGACAAATCAAAGACTTCCTAAAGGAAGTAATATGAGTACTATTAGACCTAAGGATGAGCAAGAATTAGCCAGTTTCTTCTGTGGGAAAAGAGAATTAAGAGGTTCCAAGTGTGGGAATGAAAGCATGTTCATAAAGCCCAAGAGGAAAGAAAAAGCACTGCACCTTTAGGGAACAAAGTAATTCAGACTGGCTAAAACTTGAGAAGCATGAATAAACATCAATAAGAGATTAGGTTACAGAATAATCAGGGACTAGGCCACAGGAACCACTTTAAACTGCTATTGGAGCTTTCTGCTGGGGCAATGGTAAGTCATAAACATAATCAGCTTTGTGTTACACAAAGAGCAAACTGGTTTCAGAGTGGAGAAAAGACTGGAGAAAAGCAACATTATAGGTAGGAAACCAGTAAGAAGATTGTGGCAGTAATCAGGAAAAAGATGACAGTAGCCTAGTCACAATGCAAGTGTCTACTATGTTCCAAGCACTATGCCAGGTACTGGGGCTATAATTAATAAGCCAGGCATAGTCCTTACCATCAAAGAAATTATGGCCTTGAGAAAGGAGAAAGACAAGCAATATTAATATAGAAGAGTGCTATGAAAGTAAAGACTGCTATAGAAACATATACTAGGGGTACCCAATTTGACTTAAGGGGTCAGAAAATGCTTCTTAGAACTAATAATGGCAATTATTAGAAATAATGGCAATTAGATAGAGAAGAATGGAAAGAGTTAAATGTTAGCTTCCAGAACCAACCTTTGAAAACAAAAATGTTGGATAAAAAATTTTTAAAAAGCATTTAAAATGTATTCATGAGCTGACAAAAAAGTACAGAATCTCCAAAGAACAAAATTTAAGTTAGGAATTTCCTGGCGGTCCAGTGGTTAAGACTCTGTGCTTCCACTGCAGGGGGCACGGGTCCGATCCCTGGTCTGGGAACTAAGATCCCACATCACACGGTGTGCAAAAAAAATAGAAAAAAACAAACAAAAAAATTTTTATGTTAAAGGTTAACTTAGAGGGATAAGCAAAGTAGTAAGGATTTGACTTCTTATAATGTACACACAAAAAGATTCTGCCACCTCCCTTTTTAGCCTAATGTAAAATCTCACAGTATCTACAATTTCTTCCAGTGGTCTTATTTGGACACTCAGAGAGATACACATAAGATATTCAACAGGATAACAAAGACTAAAATTACAAACTGAGGACAATTGACAACTGGTAAGATGAATTGTGAGATACTATCTGAAAGTACACAAAAGACACAAGACTGAATATATAAAGAACTACCATCAGTAAGAAAAAGATAAACAACAAAAAACATAAACAAGCAGTTCATACTATAAGAAATCTAAATGACAAAAAAAAGATCTCTCCTAGTAATCAGAGGAATGCATATTAATACATGAAATACCACTTCTCACACATTATTCAGCATGACATAATTTTAAAGTTTGACAATACAGATACTAGGTATGGTTAAGAAACATACATTGTTGGGGCACAATAAATCGATATAATCTCTTTGCAAGTGTTTGTGAAAGAAAATAGGTGCATACTTAATAACTTAGCAATTCCACTTCTAAATATGCACTATGGAGAAATTTAGCACTGCTTGTAATAGTTTGTAAGAGTGAAAAACAAAATATCCATTCCAAGAGGAATGGATATTTACAGAATGGCAGAGTTAGATTATGAAAGACTATACAGTGATTGAAAGGAATGAAATAGAAATAAAATATATCAACATGAATCAATCTCTAAAACATGCTCAGACCTTCTAGTCAAGAGATTTATTAAAGTTCAGTTCATGTTGCCATGTTTGTCTCTGCTCAGGACAAACCGAAAAGATATACAAAATATAAAACACTGCTAAGTTCAAAACAAGATAAACCCATCTCTGTGGACCAGAAAAAGAAGAGAAATGCAAAGCAGTAAGCATAACTGAAGCCACATGACTATGGGCTCTATGTGCAAGCAGAAAACGTTAGTCCTTAGTTCAATTTCTAAAACATAATAAATACTAAAGGTGCTCCAGCATATATAGGGGAATGGAAACAAAGCCAAGGACTGGAGTGGGGAGATGTCCTGCTTATGAAAAAAGGTTGAAAAATTGGTATGCATCTCTATGTGCTACAGACTGGTTTTATAGATATATGCCATAGATCTGAAGCTTACAGCACAATGTGAGCAAAGAAGCCAAGAAGACACAAAGACTTGAGCATTGGCTTTCAAGCTTTTCTGTGACCTTGACCCATAGAGAGATTTTCTGTGTGTATGTGTATCCAAAACAAAGGTTTTAGGAAACAAAATGTATATTTGTTACATGTAATACATGCTGATATTTTATATTTTTAAATGATGACTGCAATAAATTTCTGACTCACAATATGAAAAACATTAGCATAAAGCACAAAAGAAATGATATCCTCAATATAAAGAAGACATATGAAATCAACATGCTTCACACTGAAGCCTCAGTTAAGGACCATCATTTTAGTCTTCTTATGATCTTCATTTATTTTCACTCCCATTATAGGAATTATCATTTGATTCTAAGGCAAGGGCCGTATTTTCCTCAAAATAAACCAAACATTATCATGTGTTAAGAAAATGATGATGTAGGAAGGAGAGATCAAGATGGTGGAGTAGGAGAATGTGGAGCTCACTTCCTTCCAAGAACACAGCAAAAATACATCTACATGTGGAACAATTCTCACTGAAAACCAACAGGAGACTGGTAGAAAGACTCTTATACAACAAAGGCTGTAAGAAAAATCCACACAGATTCAGGTAGAAAGATAAGAGAAGCAATCAAGTCAGGAATTGTGACCCTGGGAGGGGACAAAGAAAAGGAAGGAGATTACATGGACTCAGAGATCCTCTCTGGGGGTGAGCAATTCAAGCCACATATTGGGTTCCCTAGTCCTAGGGCCCAATGCCAAGAAGACAAGTCCCCTTAGCTGATTTGAAAACCAGTGGGACTAACAGGGGGACTGTAAGAAACCTAGACTCTGCTCATGAAGAGCACACAAAAATTTGATTACTCTCAAAACAAGGCAGCAGAAGTAGACTTAAACTGCCCCAGGACTCTGGCCAGTTTCCTACAACACCCCCAGCCCATACTCCAGCCTAAGCTGAGTGCCCACTACAGCACCACTTGCTCCATGGCACAGTTCCACACTGGGGCAAGGGATGCTGCACCCAAGAAGAGTACACAGTTGTGAGAAATGAACCCTGCTCAGATCTGGAACTGCATCTGAATGGAGTGACGGCAACCACTGAAGGTGCTTGGTGAGGCAGCGCATCAGAAGCAGTCTGTAACTCTGACTGGTCTGGGACCACCACAGCCTACTCCCTGACCGAAGCCAAGTGCCCATTCCAGCCCCTCTTGCTATGCCATGCAGCTCCAAACTGGGGCAAGGGCTACAGGACTGAGGGGAGTATACTGTTTTGAGGGACAGAGCTAACCTGACCCAGAATGGCATCTGATGGGGGTTGGGGGGAGGTGGCAGTCGCTGCAGCTGAATAGGGAAGCAGCTCATTGGGTGAGGTCCGAAACTCAGACTGGGGTCCAGAACACCACAGCCCACACCTGACCTTTGCCGAGCACCCACTCTGGCCCTTCTTGCTCCAATACTGGTTCCCTCTGGGGCAAAGTACTGGTGCTAGGAACGAAAAGAGTACACACTTAAAGGGAATGGAGCCAGCTCACTCCCAAATAACAGGGCTTCTGCTCCAGGAACTTGGGCCCCTACACCACCTCCAATAAGGTGGTGTTGGTCACTGAGCAGAGAAGAACCCCAGGCTCACACCTGGCTCCGACTCTAGTCCCTCCATCTTCCAGTCTCACCTCCTACAAAGGTGACAGCTGCCAGCATACCCTGTGAAAAGATGTGACTCATGCTCAGGTCAGATCCAGTTCTCCCATCAAAGCCACTGGGCACATGGAGACTGCATAGAAATGCTCCCACACAAGGACACTCCTTCAAGATCAGAGTAGGTAAATGTTTCACCTAATATCACAGACACAGAGAAAGTTAAGCAAAATGAGAAGACAGAAAACTGTTTCAACTGAAAGAACAAGAGAAAAACCCTAAAGAAAACAACTAATGAAACAGCAGTGAACAACTTAATAGACAAAGAGTTCAAAGCATTAGTAATAGGAATACTGACTAAATTAGAGGAAAGAATAGATGAACAGAGAATTTTAAAAAGGAATTAAAACCATTTTTAAAAGACAGAACTGAAGAACATGCTAACTGAAATGCAAAACACATTAGAAGGAACCAACAGCAGACAAAGTGATACAGAAGAAGATGAAATAAAAATTAACTCAATCTGAACAGAAAAAGAGAAACAAGGTTTAAAAAAAATGAGAACAGTTAAGGGATCTCTAAGACAACATCCAGCATACCAACATTCATACACTAGGGGTTCTAGTAGGAGAAGAGAGAGAGAGAGAGACAGGGCAAAAATGTGTTTGATGAAATTATGGACTGCCAGAACCTGAAGAAGGAAACAGAAATCCAAGTACAGGAAGCACAGAGGGTACTAACCCAACCCTAAAAAAATGTTAAACATTTTCTCTAAGTAAAAGTAAAAAGCTACAACAAGTAAG